CAAGGGGCCCTGGAGAACAGTAGAAGGGCAGACCTGGAAGGAGGGATAGCTTGAAGTCAGAGTTTAGGTCCACTCTTGGGGGGTGGAGAGAGTCACCAAATGGTAAAGGGTTTGTGTGGGCCCTTCAGGGACAGAGGCTGGAGGCCAGGAATCTTTGAGGTACCAAAAGTGCCCACCAGAGGGCGCGCGTTGCAGAATAAATTTTTAGGGACCACATGGACCCACTACCCTCTCTGTGAAAGCCAGTTGTCCTTGAACACTAGTTAGTTTGTTGCTTGGCAACAAGCTCAGGAGCAAAGGGCAAAAGTGGCCAGAACAGAATTATGCACAGGCTAAAATGCCAGGCAGCTCCACCAGTCGCTGAATGGCTAGCAACAGTGACCAACCCTGACCCCTAAACCTTGCCCCCAGGGACTGGCTGGTCACCTGTTGGGAAAAAAAATTGTGTTCAACTCTTTCCATGTAGGAGGGGACAGTATTTGTCCTCCCCAGAACAGATTCAGAGCCGAGATTCATGTCAGACTCGCCATTGCCAGCATCAACATCTGCAGGTTTCCAGAAGCACTTCGATGGGCTACAGGTCCTTACAATGGGCCCTCCAGCCTGGAAGCCACTCAAAGTGAAAGCATGGAAACAATACTCTGGTCCAAGCTTCTCAAGCTGTGAGTCCCTTACCTCCCTCAAGCCCAGAGAAGAACAAATGAGCCACAGAGAATACCCTGAGGTATACTCGTCACCGCAGAGAATGCCCTAAGGTATACCTCGACCACAAAGAACACCCAGAGACAATGACCTAAGGACCACAGAGATGCCCTCAATCACAGAGAACTCCCTAAGGTACCCGGGACCACATGGAACACCATCAGGTACATCCTTGACCACAGAAGCAGCCAAGTAGGTTTGCAGTAGGCTGGCATGCTCTGCACCAAGGACAAATATATGCTGCGGACCCAACTTTGCCTAGAAATCACAGGTCCAGAGACCAATTATGAAGGTGGGCAAAGGGTGTAATCCCATTACACTCAAAGAGCCTCTCAAATTTTGTTTTCTGACCTCCACTGCTCCTGGGGTGCCTAGGGAGGGATTTGTCTGCAAGAGGGCCTGGAACAGTTCCTCTAACCTAGGAGCCAACAACACAGCTTGACTTTTCTCACCTTCTTATGCCATGGAGGAGTAAGAAAAAAAGCAGGGTCCTAGCATTAACAGAAAACTGTGTGATTAAGTCTGGGTTTGAACCCCAGCTCTGTCACTGATTTTACCTCTGTGCCTCAGTTTCCTCCTCTGTAAAATGGAGATGGATAATTAAATGGTGCCTGGCATATAACAGATACTCCATGTTGCCATTGTGAGTATTATTTGCTAACCTGCCTGTAAGCAATGGAACCTGGGAGAGAGTGGTTTCAGCTCAGGGGTCTCCTGGGGCACTCCAGTATCCAGTAAAGGTTACCAGACAATCACTGCATCTTAGAGATAAATGACCCCCAGGGATCATTGGGAATGGAGGTCAGTCAGCACTGCTCCAACAGGGTACATCCTCCACCAGATACTACCAGGCTGCAGGTGAAGGGTCTGAGGACCAGGCATAGGGCAGCTCAGGCTCCATCACCAGCTCCTGACTGCTATGTAGGGCTTTAGCCCCAAACCTTCCTCTGTGGCTGTAGGTCCACGCATATCCAGAACCATGTCCATGAGGGTGGTCCATCCACAGAGCCTGGTCACCCCCACTCCACCCAATCCCCCTGACTTTCTTTTCACTTCTGCAGCAGCCCCCAGGCAGAGATTCCTGGTAGGGACGCCTGCTCCCGAGGCAGGCACTCATGGTGTTTCCTGAACGGGGCCTGCCCCGCCCCCATTCCGCCGCACCACCACTCCTGACATGGAGGCCACATTCATTTCATGACATTTCCTGGAATCTGTCATGCTATCCTCCTGCCTCTTCGTGTGCTGAGCTGTGCCCTCTCTCTGGAGCCCCCAGTCCTGCCTTCTCCTACCTCTATCTGGTTTACAAGTGGCAGCTCTGTGTGAATTAGAAATCTCTCCTCCAGGCCCACCGAGACCAACAAGGGTCTCGGTCATCAGAATTCTGGTTGTAACACGGAGTATCCTCAGCTTCCCCTCTCAGCATCTTGGAACCAGTCTGTGTGACTCCCCTGCTCGTCCCCACGCACACACCCCTGAAGGGAGTGAATGGACCTCAGCCTTGTGCAACCAGGGCCCGGTGGGTTGGTTGACTACGGAAGTACTCCACAGAACCCCCAAACTAAAACACAGAGAGGACTGACAGAGGCTTCCTTTGTTAAAAGACAGCAAACTGTTAGATTTCAAAAATAACTTAAGACGAAATTTCTTTTTTGCTCTCGCGCAAGAAGGCAGACATTGCCAAACCTATTTAGAGGGTTCACCAAAAGGCTGCTAACCCCTGCCAGTGGTCCTGGGACCAGCACAAGACTTCACACTGGAGACCCCTGATTCTGGGGGTTACTGGCCAAGGGCAGGGGCTCTTCCAAGAGGAGGAAAGGGCTCTCCAGGGTCCAGAGAGGAAGCTGGCCTCCCAGGCTGGCCTGCACTCATCTCCTCCTCGTCCCTGGGCTCTGCCTGTGACCTGTCAGCCCCCATCCACGCTGCCTGCTTGTAGGGACTCGTTTTAATTAATGCCAGAGCTGGGCCAACCACTGGGGCCGTGACACTTGTTTGCAGGTCATGTCCTCCTAACAGGCTCGCCCTGGGAGGGGATTTGTCACTAATTGAAGCAGAGATCAGTTAATGAGGCCGCAGGGCCTGGGGTTCCAGAGAACAAGAGAGAGGAAAATAAAATAAGGCCTCTTTCTTGGGCGGTTTTGTGATTTACACACACAAAAGAAAAGCAAGCAAGCTGCAGATTTTCCAAGTCAGAAGCTCCGCTCCATCTGCCCGAGTTAGACCCTCACTGTGTGAAGACGTCAGGCAGAGGGACGCCGCTGCGGAGCCTGGTGGATGGAGAGGAGAGGGGCTCCCCAGGCAGGCAATCAATCAGCAACCTAATTAGCAAGTATTTATGGAGCAGTGCTCTTCACCCCTCGGTGGGGGGGAAGTGGGCCTGTCCCTGTTCACTCTCAATGCAGTGGAACAAGAGGATGGGACATGGCATAACTGGGTGAGTGTGTGGGAGCACAGAAGTTTCTAGGACATGGGACTGGGGTGGGGGGAATAGCATGGGCTAGTTAGGAGACACCCCTTAAGGCTCTCAGCTAGGCAGGGAGGAAGGAGGGTGTCCCCAGCACAGTCACAGCCTTTGGGGGCCATGACAGCTCGGAGCGGGGTGAGGATCCCTACAGTTGAGACCCTGATTGTGAGAGCTGTGAGGGCTTCAAATCCCCAGTAACTCAGTGACCTGGGCCCCACGGCCCATGTCCCCATCTGGTTGAGATGGGATGGCTGAGGTGGAACACTGAAGACAGGGGTGCAGAGAGCCCCGAGTTCTAGAAAGAAGCTGTGTTCCTGATCCCAGAGCCCCAGGCCTGCAGGAGGATGGTGTGCTACCCTAGGACAGTGAGCCCCTTCAGGAAGTCCATTCCAGCCATGGCATGCCATCTTCCTCCAGGACGCTACCTCCTCCCAGCCCCCCACCTTACCCCAAATCTCAAAGACAGAAAATGGGATTTTCTAGATCTAGTTTTCAAGATCTCTAAACAAGGCAGCGTCATGGGGTCCTCTTGTCACTAGGAGCAAGGAAGAGGTGACAGTCTTTCCTCTCTTGCAAAAGCCTTTGACCTTGACCAGTAACCCATCAGGGATCCACACTTTGTATGACCCCAAATTAAGTCTCATGCTGGGTTGCAGGACCTCCGGGGTGGGGTTAGCAGTGCCTTGGTGAACTATCTAAATAGTTCTGGCAACGTCTGGCGTCTTGCTTGGGTAAGACATTTAGAGGAGATCAACTTGGACAGGAAATGGACTCCCCCCTGCACTACCTGACAGCTGGTAGGAGATAAACTGGTCTACTGGGAAGAGAGTAAATGAGACGATTTCAGAAGAAATTCAAATCCTTCTTGGAGAAGAACAATAAAATAAATTACGGTGGATGGTACGTGGGTTAGTAGAGAGCCATGAAAAGTTATTATATTTATTTTATAACATAGGAAAGACGAGGAAAGTGGTTTTCATGGAAAGATTACTACATGTGAATGCTTTCATTACATGTGAATTTTTTTATTTGCATTTGTACTTCTTTTTTCTTACCAGTCACATGCATTTATCATGTATGGGATAAAATAAGTTGTGAAGTAACCTTTGCCAACTGGAGCTCTAGGAGACCACCCAGCAGGGCTCAAGGCTGAGATGAGTGTAGGCAACGTCCAGGGGCTTGAGCTTCTGCTCCGGTTCTGGCCAAGGCTCCTCCCTATGCGCCCTGCCCTCTGTCCTCATCCGGGACCCATCCTATGCTCACATATTTGGACTACAAATCTCCCCTACTTAGCCGTTCTTTCTCAAAGTTCTGGGGGATTCAAAATGAGCCTATCACCCCTGTCTTGAGGCAGTTACAGGAGGATTGGCCCTTGTGGCCACATGATCAAGGCCTCTGACATGGGACAACTGTGCCCAGGAAACCAGACACAGAGCTGGCCCTTGGGTGGCCCTTGCAGAATTGTTCTTGTACACAGCCCACCCCCACCCCATCATCCAGTTACTGAGGGTAAAGCCCAGATCCTCTGAGAAGAGTGCTGGATAGGCACAGGCCCACCTAGAGACAACGCCTGCCCTAGGGAGGGTGGAGTGAGCAGCCCTTCACGTGGCGCATGGGCGCCTTACCTCCCTGCCTGCCCTCCAAAATCTGGAGCAGACTTGCGCCCCCCTCGGTAAGGTGTCACCAGCATTTACTCTCGTCCCTGCCTGGAAAGCCAGCCTGACGAACCACTCACAGAAACCCCTGTTTCCCACACCCTTTGCCAGGCCTGGCCTAAAACAGCCCCCCACCACTGAGCCCCAGGACCAAGAGGGAGGGGGAGGCAGAAGCTACTCACAGCAATGGAGACAGCACTGATGACAGCCCCCAGGTAGCCCTGGATGAACTTGGATGCAGGCGAAGGCTGGAAGACAGAGGCAGAATTTCAGGCCCACACTTCACCTCTCAGGTGACAGACAGCCCCAGCCTGGAGGTCAGGGGAGAAAGAACAGAGGTCCCTCTGGAAATCAAAGGGCTGTAGGCAGCCCTGGTACAATTCCATACGGGAAAACAGGAGGCAGCGATGTGCAGGGAGATGCCGAGGCCCAGGGCGCTGACCTGGTCTGGAAAGGTCACTGCAGACACTTCTGAGTGAAGGTAGAGAACAGCAAGGGCTGAGGTGGGCTGTTTATGGCCTCAGCAAGCAGGCTTCAGTTTAGGAAGACCAAACGGTGCCAAGTGGGCTGTTTGGCACACAGCGCACTTTCTAGGTGGACATGGCATTGCCAAGGCTGGTGACAGGCCAGTGGGTCCTCCAGGCCTTGTCAACCCCAGCAATAATTGGGCTTCCATGGCAATGGATGAGAGTTGCTCGACCTTTCTATGGAAAACATATTCAAAGTTGCAATGGGGAAGATTAGGAAAGAGCTGAGGAACTTGTCTGTAATTCGGTGACAAAGGCAATTTTGGGGATGTTTGGTTTAAGCTAAAGGGGAAACATTTGAGTGGAGACGCAAATGTGTGAAGCATGGGAGTGAGACATGGATTGAAGGTTTGCATGGGAGGACTGGTGCATGGATCAGGGCGTCCTCCGAGTACCAGGACCTGTAGTTCCTACTGCCCAGGTCAGCTCCTAACTGCTATACCTTTCTCCCTGGAGGTTAGGAAATGCCCTGGACTTCCCATCCCTGAACTAACCGCCCCTCAAGGGGACTTAAACTCTTCCTCCCCTCTCCCTGCCTCTGGGTCGAAGTGTGGAGAATCCTTCAGGGGGAAGAGCAGCCTTGCAGAGAAGCAGGGCCCAGCCCCTTCCTGGACAACATAAGCTCGTCCCAGGAGTGCAGGAACTTGAGGAAGAACCAGTCCTCCCAGATCCCTTATCCTTCAAAAGCAGCCCTCCAGCTTTGGGGCCAGTGGTCTGGATATTCCCAGGCAGCTTCCAGGAAAGCTTGGGGGATGCTGTAGAGAAATTCAGTGCTCACGTCGCTGACACTGACCCATCCAAGATTCGGAATATGAGCTGCCCAAGAATTCTGAAGCCAGCAGAGCTCATCCCTCTCACTGAACCCACCAACTTCCCACTTGGGGGGCCTTCTCCTTTTCAGGCCCCTCCCAGCTGAAGGGGCATTTGCAGAAGGGTTGACAGCTTAAATAAGGTAAATAAAAAAGGCCAATGCTTAATTCAGTGGAGGATGAAGGCCACCCAGCCTGAACCCCACCATGAGCCTGTGGTCCATGTAGCTTACCTTGGTAGCATTGCGGTTTGCATAGTTGACACAAGCATTGTGGCTCTGGTTCAGCCACTGAAAGGCAACAAAGGAGAGAAGTCAGGGGCAGGAAGGTCACCTCCCTGGAAGCCAGGCCTGAGCCCTAAGAGTCTATACCCTCCGGAAAGATGAGGGAAACTGTCTGTAGTTCACAGGCGGTACCATTAATTAGCATGACCAACTGTCTCTTTTTTCCAGGGCTCTGCTGGTTTTAGCACTGAAAGTTCCTAGTCTTGGGAAGCCTCTCAGTTGCTGGCAAGCCAGACACTGGTCCTACCCACCCAGCAATCCATCCCAATTCAGGGCCACCTCCCCCAGAGTTATAGCATCCACTGCCCCGCTATCTTTGCCACATCATCCTTATTATATTACTTACTGGACAGGGGTGGACATTTAGGCTCCTGGAATGACTAACAGCTCTGAATCTTTCAAAAATATCCCAACCCAGTGTCACACCACCTATGACACCCAGGCACAGACACTGTTAGGGGCTTTGTCAAGGCAAGACTGACATTTCTCCTCAGAGACAGATGGGCACACACATACATGCACAGCACAGACACCGCTTCAGCTGTTTGCAGGGAACCACAAGGTGACCCCTAGAATGGGAACCAGAATCTTGAACTTTTTCACCCACATAACTACTGTGGGGTCAGGGGTGGATTTACCTTCCCCACAGATTCAGGTGATACTATTATCAAAAAGAGTGTGGGCTTCAAGTTCACTGGCCATGGACAAGCAGCCAAGGGGCAGAGATAGCCACCAACGAGCCATCCAGGTGAGGCACACACCTGGACCACCTCACCTCTGTGCGAAAGTAAGAGTAACATACTGGCCCAAAGCATGGGCTGCTGGAGACCTGCTCCAAGTCCAGGGGTTCCTGGGTCAGTGAGGGGCAGGAAGTGAGGTGACTTTCCCCAGGGGGGTCTGCACATGATAGGAGACCCTGGGGCAGATTCCTGGGTCCCTCCCTCAGGAGGCTCTGCTTGCTGGGCTTACCTGCCAGAAGACAGTGGATGCCAGCGTCTGGTTGGGCAAGAGGAGACCAACTACCTGCAAGTCAGAGAGAGAAAGAGTGGAAAGGCTGAGGAAGGCAAAAGAAACACCTTCCACATTTGCAAAGAAAATGTACACAACCGTGGACAAGAGTGAGCTGGATCAGCAATTCCACTCCTAGGTATTTACCCAGAGGACACAGAATCGTTAATTGAAAAGGGCACCTGCACCCCTATGTTTATAGCAGCACTGTTTACAATAGCTAAGCTTTGGAAACAACCCAAATGCCCAAAAATAGATGACTGGATCAAGAAGATGTGGTACATATATAGCATGGAATATTACTCAGCAATCAAAAAAGATAAACACATGCAATTTACAGCAACATGGATGGAGCTGGAAGGGATCATGCTCAGCGAAATAAGCCAGAAAGAAAAAGAAAAATACCGGATGGTCTCACTCATAGCAGGAATCTAGAAAACTTAAATAAGGGACCAGGAAAATGAATAACTATAAGAAAGAAAAAAATCAAAATCAACAAACAACTATGAACCAGAGATACTCTTTGGGGGAAGGAGGGATTAGGGTCAAAATCGGGGTTGCAATTGTATGGAGAATATAAAAAAAATTTTAAAAATTAAAAAAAATAGTGAGCTGGATATGTGCAAACTGAAATGGATGATGCAGCCACACCCACTGGTGCCCACAGTGAAATGTGGGACGACAAAACCCGGATGCACAATTATATTACAGCACAATCCCATTTTTATAAAGAAAAAAATCTCACTTTATATATAACCATATATATACAAACATGCACATAAATATATCTCCAAGCATGAAAAAATCTGAGGCCCAGCCTGGAGATGTTTCTGGAGGTCAGTTTACACAGTATTTTCTCACATTCTTGGATATTTCTGCTTCGTTTTAATGGTGGACACGCACTGTTGCCACAATTGGAGGGGAAGGGGAACAATAAAAACAAGGTGCCAGAAAAAGGAGCATCTTCACTTCCATCAGCTGACCCCGCTCCTTCACAGCCGAGCATCCAGCAGGATTTTTTGTGAGGATTAGACAGCAATCATTAATAAGGTGTAAAGTGCTTTGCAAATACAAGTTGGAGGAATTTGTATTGGAGTCCCTGTGAAGTAAAGCCTATACCATGTTGAAGCTATTGAGTGAAACACAAATAGCTAATCAATTTGGTGAACGAGTAAATGAATGAGCAAATACACTCTATGGCTAAGTTGGTGACATAGGTGTGGATCCATTATTTTCAAAGCCCAAATACCACCTAAGATCTAGGTTCTCTGCCTGGTTGCTGCTGTGGGGTTCTTTGGGCCTTTGTGTGTGGGAGTGGGGTGGGGAGGCAGTTAAGTCAAGATTAGCTATCTGGACTTGACACTGGCCAAACCTTGGACTTTAGGGACCCATGTGAGTCTCTCAAGTTTACATTTTGAGTGTTTATGTGCAAAATTACATCTACCAAGTACTGCTGCATATGGAAAAAATGTGCACAACCATCCACATATTGACTTATTTATTATTCCTGTAGATAAAATGACTCTTTGGCAAGAATTTCTGAAAGGAACAAGGATAAACATTCAATACTATGCAGTAAATCAAATTCTAGACATCCTCAGCAGCATTAGTAAATCATGTTTTAAACATTAAAATGTTTTAAAACAGCGAACATGCATATACATTTATATTTATTGGCCCGTATCAGTTTGAATAAAATTATATGATGTAAAACCATTCCATGGCTCCAATGAGGAATTATAAGATTCTTCTCCCAAAAATGAGATCCCCATTTTTCATTTATCTTTAATTATTTTTGCAAAGACAGCTTAGAGTACTGGTATGAATTACGAGACCTGAGGTCTTACCCCGGCTCTATCCCTCTATCATCTCCCTTTGGGGGCTCTAGCTTTCTTACCCATACAGTGAAGGGGCTGTCCTGGGAGGTTTTACTTTGGTTTCAGATTCTACCTTCAGGTTCCAAAGTGTAGGCGTGAAGTCAATAGAGATAGCCCCATGGTCTAGAAAGGGTTCTCCCTCTGACCTGACAGAAGTAACTCAGACCCAGCACCACTTCCTTATGGCCCAGTCAGCCAGAAGACCAGAGAGAGGAAGCTGAGCCTAGAGAGGCCTGAACTGGGAGCCGAGCATGCAGGGGTGTGTGTGCCGGCTTGTGCACGCATGAGTACACGGGTGTGTGTCTACTGCCTCCCAAAGCCTGCGGAAATGCAAGCTGTTCTCCATCATTGAGAGCACATCATTCCCCTAATCTGTCAGTTTATATAACAGGGGGGTGTTATGAACAACACTGCCTTCTCCCACTCAATCCCATGGTGCCCCCTGAACTGTGCTTGGGCCACCAGGAGCATCATCAGATACAGTTGCGAGGGACTCACTATATTTACCAGAGGGTTGTTATCCAGGACACTCACTGCTCATTACATCAGCAGATTCCCCCTAGGGGTCTTCTTGGGGGAAATTTTTCTGGCTTTAAGGTCAGAAATTGTACTTCTGAGCAACCGGCTAGCATCTGTCTTACAGATGTTGGCATTTTACAGAGTGTCTCTTTGCACTGACTATCAAGACGCTCAGCCCAGATTTCCATGGTCCACATCTGCCAAACAGCCCTCACTGTGTGTATTTTGTGCCCAAACTTCACAACTGGTTTCATTTTATCTTTTCTTCTCTAAACTTCCTTTTGTCTCATTTTCATCTTCCCCCTTTATTAGGTTTTATCTCATGGCATGCATTTTTAAAAAAGTGATATGTCTTTCCAAACTGAAACCAAAGTAATACCTAGGTTATATAGTGTACACACACACAAACTCACACACTACATAGGGCTTGTGACCAGTGAGTTTTCATTTTGTTGGCCAACCCTGTCCCAAATTCCTACACTAACACGGGAGTGGCCCACTCAATTCTGATTCCTTGTGCTTTCGTAGAGCTGGAAGGATGTATCGATTGATTTTCCTGAGCATTTCCCCATATGTCACTTACCATGATCCTCTGGGGCTCAGACAAAATAGATCTACCTTCTATATTTTGCAAATGGAGGAAACTGAGGCTTAGAGAAAGTCCATGATCTGCCCACGGCTTCATAGCAAGCCAGAAAGAGTCAGGTCACCTTATTCCTGGCTTGGGGGCTCCAGCTCTGATTTTAGGGGCTCCTTTTCCAACTCATCCCCCTGAGCACAAAGAAGAGTCACTCTCCATGCTCAGTTTTGAGCACTAAGTTTCATTCTACTCCCAGGGCAGAATGCTAAAGGAAGAGGAAGACTGAGTTGAAGAGTGTGTGTGTGCGTGCGCGCATGAGCACATGGGAGCAGGCACAGCTGAGACTGGCCTGACTGAAGAAGGAGGCTTGGGAAATCCACAAGCGGGAGTCCGGGGAAGTGAGGTGAGAAGACAGTGGAAGACCTGCTACACTGGCCAAAAGGGGCTGAGGGATCCACTGAGGCTGAGGGGAGCGCCGGGGCCCACCTCCTAGGACCTACAGTGAGGCTGGTGGGGCCAGGAGCACGCCGGTGCCAGCCCCGTTCCCCATTAGGCAACACGCAGCACCATCTGCACAATCCCCGGAGCAAGAGCAGATATTTTATAACTTCCTTTTTTCTTTTTAAGTCTAAATTAAAAATAAATGTTCCTTCAGTTCTCTGATGTATATCTCTGGTGCAACCTGCCCACATTCCCTCACGCTGCCCTTTCCAGAACATGGCGGGGAAAGGGAGGAAAGAGATGGATGGAGAGGGAGCCAGTCCACCCGGCTTCAATGCCAGTGGATTGTACCTCTTCCAAGAGGGAAAAGCTTCAGGCGTGGCCGCGCAGACGGGTGGAGAGAGCCCAGAATGCGGCTGGTACCAGGGAAAGTGGAAGGAGAGCCAACAGCTAGAATTTCCAGCCCAGCCTCCACCCTATCTTGCTGAGGACCTTGGCCAAATCACACATCCTATCTTTGCTCCCATTTATAGTTCAAAACATGGCTGGGGCCCCCTCCAGAGCTCCCACACCCTGGTAGCTGTCCCCTCTGCACCTCTGCCTACCTCCGCTGCTCCCCCACCCCATGGGCTGCACCACGGCCCCTGGTGATCAGCTCTCAGGGGCTGGTTGCAAGAAGAGCTTGACTCAACCCTGGCTCCTGTATTTACCAGCTTTGTCACCACAGGCGGGTGACCGGACCTCTTTGTGCCTCCATTTTTCATCTGTTAAATGGGGATGATCCTGGTATATCTCTGCAGGGTCTTGAGAGGACGTGAGATGCAGGAAGAATTCGGTGTGCAGCAAGGGCTCACTAGGTGCCAGTCGTTGCTATACTCCCCTCCTCCTGCCTAACTCTTTCCTCATCTCTGGTCTCTCCTTTCTTGAGACTCCACAGCCTGCATTACACAATCGAGCTTCATCTTGCTCCCACCTCGTCTTTGAACACAAGTCTTATCCTTCAAAGGATTGTGAGCTCCTGAAGGTGGAATTGGGCTTTCTCTTTTCCTTCCCAAAGCACTCAGCACAAAGCTGGGCCCACACTGTAGGCTAGAACAGCACCCACTCATGATTAAGTATGCTGGTTAAATCTTTTTTATTTTTTAAATTTTATATATTTTTTACATCATCTTTCATTTTTGCACAATGTACACATTTTCATCTTGGTTATAGTCCCCATACAATTCCCACCCCCCTTGTTTTGATCCTACACCCTCTGACCAGAGAAAAGATCTGTGAGGGATCGCAATGACACTATCACCATCTCTCCTTATTCTTCTCATTAAAGTCCCAATTGCATAGGAGTGTTGGCCATTGAAAGAGGGGTAGATTGAGATTTTGGTCCCAATTCTTCACACACCCTCTCTGCAGCCATACCCTCACCATGTCCTCATCAGGGGAAAATGTATTTCTTTGCTCTTCCATTGATGGATCTCAAGACTAGCTTTGGCCAATGGCATGTGGGACGGGGGCAGTTTGCCAGTTCCAAGCCCAGGCCCCCGAGACTTCGTGTGTTTCTGCTTGCCCCCTTGTGCTTCCAGTACTGCACAGGCCCTGAC